TTTTTGTCATTGATGGTGTCATTAGTATTGTCAGGTTCTCTCAATATGCGTTTGTTATGGTTATTAATAATATGTTCCATATTGTTCATGCAGCTGTAACTTAACTTAATTGTGTTGCGGTTAAATAGTTTTCTGAGTTTGTGATCTATGGGAAAGTGCTTGTCAATTAGTGAAATAAATTTGTAGCCGATGTTTGTGCTTACGTTCTTGCTGTATGGTGGGTTGTACCAGAGTATGTTATTTCTAAGTCTGTTTTTCCGTTTCGTAGTAGCGTTTGGGTCATATTTCAGCGTGTAATGATATCCATTTTCGTCAAGTGCTTTTTGGTATGGAGGAATTGCTTGGTCGAATGATGCTCCGTCGGATGATAAGGATGAAAGGCGTTTGTTAATGGTATCGGGTATGTTCTTTGTAATGCTTGGAGGATGGTTGCTTTCGTGGTGGATGTATTGCAAAGAGGTGTTGGGCTTAGTGTAAGGTCGATGGGAAGAATTCTTTAGATCGAACGTAATGTCGAGGAAGTTAATGACTTTTTTGTTAGCTTCGATAGTGATACGCAATCCGTTGTTGTTAAATACGCGGCATATCTCTTTTTTAATTTTTTCTGTTTCTTTAGGTGTTGCATTAGTAATGGCTAGTCCGTCGTCGCGATAGAGTCCTATGTTAGTAATGATGTGTTGTAGTTGTGAGAGGAGATAGCTTCCTACAAGTTTGCATGTTTCGGCGCCGTCAAAGCTGTCCATTGTCACGTCGAATGTAGAGTTGTATTTCTTTTGCCATGGTTGTTGGTTGTGAATGAGGTATGAATTCTTGGCATGTATGATAATGCTTCTCTCTTGGTTTGTGATGTTGTCGTGGGTTGAGGCGAATTCAAGTGCTTTGTTTAAGAGGTCTTGGTTGATAGACGGGTAGAAGTCTACAATGTCGAAAGATATGAAATTGTGATTTTGTTTGTGTTTGATGGAGTTGAACCACTTGATGACAGATGACGTATTTTTCCATTGGTTCAGCGAAGTGGCTGTTATGATATTGTTGTTTATTCTGTCAAGTATCTTTTTGCTAATTTTTCCAATTTCAGGTTTCGTCGGGTTGATTAGTCGGCACGTGGGTTTATTTGCGAAGTTCGGTTTGTGATCTTTGAGTGTTATGAATGCGTCTTTGTTAGCGGTGGAGTCTACTCTGTCAGATATACCCAGTTGTGATGTGATATTTTTGTCTTCGGTGTGGATGGCTTGTATTGCGTCGACGTTTATTTTCTTGTATGATTTCGTGATATTTTGTTGTAGGAGGTCGTTGTATGCTGGCTTGTCTAGTTTGTAGAAGTGGACTCTATCGCGACGACGGACTAGGACTCTATCGCGACGACGGACTAGCCATTACTAATGCAACACCTAAAGAAACAGAAAAAATTAAAAAAGAGATATGCCGCGTATTTAACAACAACGGATTGCGTATCACTATCGAAGCTAACAAAAAAGTCATTAACTTCCTCGACATCACGTTCGATTTAAAGAATTCTTCCCATCGACCTTACACTAAGCCCAACACCTCTTTGCAATACATCCACCACGAAAGCAACCATCCTCCAAGCATTACAAAGAACATACCCGATACCATTAACAAACGCCTTTCATCCTTATCATCCGACGGAGCATCATTCGACCAAGCAATTCCTCCATACCAAAAAGCACTTGACGAAAATGGATATCATTACACGCTGAAATATGACCCAAACGCTACTACGAAACGGAAAAACAGACTTAGAAATAACATACTCTGGTACAACCCACCATACAGCAAGAACGTAAGCACAAACATTGGCTACAAATTCATTTCACTAATTGACTTTCCCATAGATCACAAACTCAGAAAACTATTTAACCGCAACACAATTAAATTAAGTTACAGCTGCATGAACAATATGGAACATATTATTAATAACCATAACAAACGCATATTGAGAGAACCTGACAATACTAATGACACCATCAATGACAAAAATACACAAATTAAACATGCAACTGCCGTCAAAAACAAAACTGCCCACTTAACGGAAACTGCCTACAATCATCTGTCATCTACCAGCAACTGTTAAACGTTTAGACAATAACACAACTGAGACCTACATCGGACTTACAGAAAACGAATTTAAGACTCGACACAGGAACCACACTGCCTCTTTTCGCCACAAAAAAACTAAGAAACTCCACCGAACTCAGCAAACACATATGGACACTAAAAGACAACAACATCGCTCACAATATCTCATGGAACATCATTACTCGCAGCAAACCGTACAACAGCGCCAACAAAAGATGCAACCTATGCCTGAAAGAAAAATCCTTCATCACCTACCAACCACAACTATCATCACTCAACAAACGTAACGAACTTATCTCCTCTTGTCGCCATAGACACAAAGCACTTTTATGTAATTTGTAATCGTACACTCAATATAATATGTAATTCTATCTCAATTTTTACCCTAACTTCCTCTTGTATATATAATCTAGCACATGCTTTTGTATTCATTTAATATTATCCCCTGAAGAGTGAGAAATCACGAAACAGGCTTGTCGGGATGAATTTGTAGTTTTTGTGTATTTTCTTCTTCTCATCAATATAAGATCATTATGTTTGTCTAACATTTGCCATAGTATCTCTGCTTTTCAGACTCTAAATTTTAAGAAGTTTGACATGCTCTTTCAGGCTTTTTGACCAGTATGAGTTGTTCGAAAGGTCAATTCTATGTACTACGTCACTTGTCCAGAGGCGTAGCATATACAGGATGTTTTGAATGGCTATGAGAAAAGGCTGACCTATGACATTAAGCCTATTTTTCACTGGTAACATAAGCACAAGCGATGAAATGAAGCAAAGCATATTCTCCAGAGATTGTTTGAAATAAAAGAAAACGGATTTTCTTTTCAGTTTGTATTTGTTATAATTTATGCTTATGTCAAGTTTCTGTGCTTATGCTTATGTTTGTGTCAGTCACTTCATTGCCCTTCTTTTCAATTTTCCTTTCTCTTTATTGCTTATGCCTAAGTCGCCGATGAAACTTAGCTTCAGTATTATTATTAAGCCTGGTTTTCACTGGATGATGAATAAAGATGAAAGATCAGGGGAGTTGTCACTGGAGAAACATATGTGAAACAGAAGCTCTTAACTGTTTGTTCCAAACTTCTTGCAATGTAACGATATTTTTAAAAATTTTAATGAATTGGTAAAGGAAAAAATGTAATCAACGATTTTGGCATTCAAATGTTTATCGATCTGAATTTCAATCAAAAACTTGGCCAGATTCTTAAAAATATACAAGCATATTTGAGAAATAAGGTAAACATTGTGTCAGCTGTTCAAACAAATTTTAATTAAAAAGCTTCTTTGACAAGGTATAAGTAAATTCGTAAAGTTAAACATCCATGCATAAATTATTTACAGTGCAAGAAGCATGCATAAATTACTCAGGCGTGGATAATTTAACATAGCAATGGTTTATTTGTGTAAATGCATTTGTATTTACAAAATAAAATAGATAAAAAAGTAAGCATAAATTCCATTTTTGTATTAAAGTGTAGAACTCAAGTCAAATTTGATTTATGTATTATAATATTTGTATTCAATCAAATGTTTGAATCGCAGCTTTTAGAGCAATTAACACCAGTTTTTTCTAACACAACAAAGATGGTGATTGGTTGCTTCATTAATTTAGTAGACAAATAACTTTAATACTTTTGGCTGGAAATATGTTTTCAATTTGAAAAGACACAGCAAATTGTTCAACTCAAACTTGCGCATATGCTTATTAACAACTATACTACTGTCCTTGGTCGTTGCAAATGTTTTGATTTTTGTTATAATTTTCATATAGGGGAAATTTGAAAATTTGAACATAGGACTGTACAACACTTATATGCAAGAATTGTTTTTACGCTCAAGTCCTCAATATATTTTTAGGAACATTATATATTAAGTTATTGATTAGCTTTATACAAGACAAGTATGTTCGTGCAGTTAAGTTGGCATTCATGCATAGATTATTTCACAGAAAGGACGTAATTTTTTTTCAATAATATTGTGCTATGACAACATTACATGTTTGCTCTCAAATGCCTTGCTCTATGACGTGCGTGCTAACATGAAATTTAATGTATCATAATTTTAAATTTTGTTCGTAAGAGTAGAACTTAAATAAAATTTTAATGATGATAGTATATAATAAGATATCAATATTTTTACAGCTGTGTGAATTGTAGCTCTTAGACAAATTAACACCAGTTTTTTTGCAACAAAACAAAGGTAGCTTACTTAATTTAATTAGAAAATCGCTTTAACTTTAACACGCAATATGTTTTTAATTTGACAAGAGAAAAAGAAAAGCAGCAAAATGTTGTACTCAAACAAATGCTTAAATTTAACAGCTCTATTATTCTGCTTGTTCAATGTCTTTTGTCGTAGCAAATCCTTAAACTTTTGCTATAATGCTTCATACAAAGGTGAGAGAAATGTTTAAGTCTCGATAAGAGTTCGTGCTTAGTCTTGCATGAAAGATTATATTTAAAACTTTATTAAACTGAAAATGCAAGGGTATTTTTTCTTAGGTTGGAGATTGCAAGAGAATTTATTCAAGAAAATTGAAGTACAAAACGAAATAGAATGCATCGTGAAATGCGTTAAAGAGCCATGTTGTCGATCTATAAACCACAGAAGAAGGTTAAGCCAAGGACGTTGGAGTCTGTGTGAAATGTTACACAGTGTTCTAAATGACAGCAGCCGACAAAATTTAAGACAAAATCGATTTTTTGATTATATTTTCTTCAACACACCAGTCAAGGTAAGAAATAATTTTAAAGTTTGTGTGTTTCATATTTATATGTACCTAAAAGCTAGTAGCTTAACACAAAAACAAACTATTAGAAATACTTAAAGTATTGCAATTAATCTACACTTTATTTTTCACTCCAACTTTTAAATTTTTTCGTTTTACTTTTAGATGTACAACAAAAGCTGTAAACTACATCAACGTAAGTATTTGTATTGTTACATACAGCTACGTAGCTTTAAATCAGCGATTATGTTTTAAATCTATAAAACTTGACTAATGATTCATTCAATTAATGTAAGCGCTGAAGAAAAGTTACGATTTGGTATTTTCCAATGCACATGTTGAGAACGTGATTCTTATGGATAATGTGATGCCTAATATATCGGAGATGACTTTGGTGTTTTGGATAAACACAAACACAAATCGAAGAATGGCGCTGTTTTCTTACGCAGTTCAGGACAGTCCTGATGAATTTTTTGTGGGATTTGAAAGAGAGCAGATCATTATTACAATAAAATCGTTGAAAAAAGAGTAAGAAACTAATTTTACTTATTTAAACTATGGTTAGAAAATTCATCAATTTGCTAAATTTTAAAATTTGAACTAATTGCCATGTCTCCCACGTAAGGAACAGGCAAAACAATTGTCGTTCACACATTTTAATGTCATAACAAAAAACCAGCTGTATGGTGTCAAAAACTAAAAAAATCCAAGCATATAATAAGCAATAAAACTTATCTATTAATAATAAACAATGATTTAGAAAACACTCGAAACTCGACTAAAATGCTCTGCTCACCCTAAAGCAAGTTTTCCACTTGCGATTTTTTTGCGAAAAGTGATACTTTTCGAGACAAGAAATTTCGTGCGAATGGGTGTATGATTTCCAGTAGTAATATTAAAACATTGAAACACAAAAATTATTAATACAAAATGGCTTAATCAGACACTAGCTATATGACTGCCACTGCTTTGAAATAATATTTTATAATTGTCATTGCTGCAATGAGGACCAGAACGCCCAAGAAAGTACAAGACACAGTTTTTCATATGTCGTTTATTAGTTAAACGGGCACATAAAAGGAGAACTTCATCCACTCTCCTTATAGTATTTACGATCAGGAATATACTTCCAAAAGCATCGTTCAGTATGGACGTTGCATATGTTTCGAGATTCGTTTAAGAAACTCCTTAGTCAATATAAAAGAATGATTTATGCAGTGCGGTGTTTGAAATTAAATGAAGATATGACCTTCGCACTATGCTGGACAACTTAAGCAATTGTCTTATAAACCTGAAAAATTCAGGTGACTCAACGGGATTTGAACTCTGGACCTCTGCGGTGCCGGTGCAGTGCTCTGACTAAATGAGCTATGTAGTCACACAGTGGAGGGCAGGTCAATTTTGTTGGGCTCATGTTTTCTCGTGAAATGAATGTCATATGAAATAATGATTTATGCAGTTCGGTGTTTGAAATAAATGAAGATATGATCTTCGCACTTTGCTGGACAATTTAAGCAATTATCTCATGAACCTGAAAAATTCAGTTGACTCAACGGGATTCGAACCCATGACCTCTGCGGTCAAATTTTTTCGCAGCAAAAATTAGAAGTCAAATGAACTAAAATTTTTATCGTCACGAACAGTTTGCGACTGATTTCATCACTGTGTATATGTGAGGTCGTTGAACTTCTGTGCATGCCTGTAAATTCAGAAAGTATTGATTTTAACATTGTTACTAACCTATTTTCAAAAAAATATGATCATAAAAACTATTGCACGCCAAAAGGCAATGCTATAAAATATTACTGAAAAGTTTTTAATGCACGGTAATATCTAGCTAAACTCCTGGTATCACTTTTTTAATTTGAGATGTAATTTCTTTAAACAGTCTTATATGATCATAAAAACTGTTGCACGCCAATAGGCAATGCTATAAAAATGACTGCAAAGTTTTTATACATGGTAATATCTAACTAAACTCATGGTATCACTTTTTTAATTTGAGATGTAATTTCTTTAAACAGTGTTTTGTTAACTTCAAACTTGAAGTCTTTCAGATCTTCATAATTATTGTATATATATGCCGTGAACAGCAACATTGCAAGCACATTTTATCTGCACCACAGATTAAAAATTAAAAGGAGCAATGTCTTTTTATCGTCTAAATCTTGAGAAAACTTCATTCATAATTATGACTGATGTGTTTGCAGTACGCATAAGGCGTAGGTGTAGTTTTTTGAATTTTTCTATAGAATTTCTTCTCTAAAATACTTCATAAAACTTCATTTCCTAAACGATAATAACTACTAAAATTACGTTTAGTCTTTTGACTTTCGTTTGAAGAAAAATGTACCTAACCATGATAGAAACATGTAAAACAAATTATTTTAAGTTATATTACCTGGTAATTTTGTAAGCACTTACTGACCTGAAAAATTTAATACCATTTCAAGACCTGCTATTAAAAAACGCACAAAATTTTAAATTTTCATTGCCGTTTTCAAATTTCGTTGTTAACATTTGACGTGAAAATCGTTTTCAAATAATTCATTAATAACGGTTACTTGTTTATATAAGCCAATATTTTTGTAGTTTCCCCTTTGAACCTTTTTTTATCTCTTAGAAATCTTCGAATTCGTCCAATCAACGACGGTTTTTGGCATTACCTGGTTATCATCATCACTAAAATGACTAAGAAGACTTTTCTTGATGGTGTTGTGATTTTAAACAAAACTATGGTCAATCATTCATTACCTTTATTACGTGGTGGTGGTGTTGTTGCTATTGGTCAAAAACTTGAATGCGAAAATGCTGTTTTTGATCCAAATATGTCATTTGTTGGTAAAATATATGATTTAAACCTATGGAAATATGACGTAACGCGGAACGCATCATGTACCATCATGGGATTGGAAGATGGATGTACTACAGAGCCTCATGAACAAGTTATTCAGTGGAGAGATCTTGATATTTTGTCAAGTGGAAATGTTTCAAGAGCGTTTGGTGAGTATGGTTTGCTTTAAATACTTCTAAATTAAGGCCAAAATACACAAATTAAAAAAAAAAGATGATTTCTTGTTTATTTTAACTAATTAGAATTGGGAATTGTTGTGTAGACTAATCAGAATTGGCAATTTTTTTCTTAATTATTTAGAAAAATAGCAAATGTGTTTGATAAAAATTTGAAAAATGTCATGACCCATAGTCGTTGTATACCATACTAAGATCATATGATTAATCTGGGATATCAATAAACATTGAAATTTTGTCATTTCGATGTTCATAATTTCTAAAACAATAACAAGAAATTGCAATAGGATTTAGAAAGTTTACTATGTAGATTGTAAGTTTTCCGTTAAGCTGTCATCATTTTGTATTTGCGTAAATTCCAATGCACGTTTTATACTAATAACATTGTAAGTTTTGAAGAAATTTTTCTTCGTCAATTCAAGATGAAACTCATTTTTTTGAAAAAAGTAAAGAAACTCCTTTCCTACAATATTCCAGACTCTTTCATTTAGTTAATGCTTGCTCCTCGAAACCATGTAAAAATGGTGGTGACTGTACAAATGTTGGATCTTCATATAATTGTAAATGTAAACCTGGTTTTACTGGAACGAAGTGTGAAGGTACGCACATTTTTAAATCATTACTTTTATATATTTTTTTATCTTTTGTATGTTTTTAGTAGAAACATGTCATGTCAACTTAACTATTTCAAACACACTAAAAAAATTTGAAAAAATTCACCTTGTTTTTGACTTGACCAACCTATTTTACAGGTGTACATAAGTGAAGTCCGCCTGTTTCGTTTTCAACATGATTTATTCACTGAACATGGTCCATGATGTATTAGTACTAAGACGATATTAACCAATCATTCAACTGAAAAAAGATTTCTCTCGTTATTAATATCTGCTTGTTAACAGTTTTTGACAAAATGAGCTGCATGGTTGTCATTTTTATTTAATTATTATAATTCATACGTATCCTTATTGTTTACATGCATGCTAACATTTGATTAGAAAATTGTGCATCTGCGTATAAAAATGACGAGACTCTTGATTCTTATATTAAATTTAGTAATTTGTTTGAATATCAGGGTCTCGTTTTGACTTTATTGTGGACTGTCATGCATGTAACCGAATTTAAAAAATTGCTTAGATTGAGCCCATGCTCTTTTATTGTTGTACGCATTGTTTTGAAATAAGCAAGGTTTTCATCAAAAAATTGGCGCTATAAATAACAAGGAACATGATGAGGATAAGCTTGTTCCTTATTTAACAAAATTCTAGAAAATATGCGCAAATAATACATTACTAAACTCTATATGCGAAGAAAGAATACGAGGGAACTTTTCATTTTAGAAAGTGAGCCCCAGTCTTGCATAAAAACATTTTGGTGGCATTCATACGCTTATGAATTTAGCAAAGTGTACTCAACAGTTCAGATTTCAAATCTGTAAATGCAATTGTAAGCATATGTTCCACTTCTTGCTTGAAGAAGAAATAAGGAACACCACTGTAATGCTCCCAAACAAACTATTTTCAATTATCTTCCTCCAAAACAGGCTGCTCAATGACAAGCTCAAGTGAATTATACGCGGTGGAAAGAAGCGGGTCCATCTACAAGATAACACTGCCTACTGCTGCTAATCAAAACTGCACTCATCTTACACAAATATCATACTATAACAATATGGCTAAGTTGAAGTTCCTCTTTCTTGGACCAGACAATGACTTGTATGTAGTTGGTCAAGACGGGGCATTTTGGAAAGCTAATCAATCTAAATTTACAGGTGATCACTGGAGAGATTTTGCAGTAAAAATAGGCGCAGGTGGATGGGATAGCTTCAAGTTCCTGTTTTTCGGGCCTAATGGTGATTTGTACGCAGTTGACGAGGATGAAAGTTTTTTAAAAGGTTCTCCACCTAAATACGCAACTGATAATTGGAGTGCTCGATCAACAATAATTGGCAAACATTGGGCCAGCTTTAAGTTTCTCTTTTTTGGGCCTGATTGCAATCTGTATGCTGTTACAACAAATGGGGACTTCTTTAAAGGATACGAACCAAAATATAGCAAGGACATATGGTTAGACCACGCAACAAAGGTTGGCAATGGAGGTTGGCAAAACTTCAAGTTCTTATTTTTTGGTCCTGGTGGAAATTTGTATTGGGTATCAAGTAATGGCTCCTTACGACAAGCCCCTCCTCCAACAAACGCATCGGATCAATGGTTTAAAGGCTCAAAAGAAATTAGCGCTGGAGGATGGGATAGTTTCATGTTTCTTTTCTAATTTTCTTTAATACAGTGTTAACAATTTAGTAATATACATGTTGTTAGTTCAATATTGTTTAGAAAACTAATATTGAAATAGGTTATCAGTACAAAGTCAATATCCTTTATTGCATATGACAAATTATTGTGTGTTTTACATTACATTTTTTGCACGACAAAATGATTCTTTGTTAGCTTTCAAAAATTTTGGCTAAAGAGTAGTTTTTATTTGCAAAATCTCGATTTGTTTCTCCTTATACAGCATAAGAAATCTAAAAAATTCCTGATGTTTTCGAAATCCAAAACTGTCGTTATGCCGTACATCTTTTGACAGGCTATGGATTTAATTTGTTTTATTGATGTAACGCTGCTGCTTGACTAAAACTACTGTCTTATAACGGCGAAGTGTTGCTTAGTTGTTATACTTTTTTCAGCAGTGTATTTTTATTCGTCCAGAGAATAAAAACCAATAGAAACTCTTCCTAAGGTTTTCATTCATGAAAGGTGGGAAATAACTAAATTTCAGGGCAGAGCGCATCTATGTAAACGTGCTTTGGTTTAGATAGCCTTCCTGAAAGTTTGGTCGTGCTATGTTATCTACAAATCATTAGAGGTATTTTCTTTTTTTGTTTTGGCAAAGAGTGAACACGGATATACCTAAATAAAAACACTAATATTATGACACGTTTCGACATTGCCTTCAAAAAACATAAATAGTCAAAAAGTTTTTGAGAATCGTGCACAACGTTTGTCTAATGAAATGTTTACATAAAGTAAAGACATGAAACGACATTACGCTATGAAAGTTTGTGGTCGAAGTTTCCAGCAAATATGGATTTCTTCGTGAAACGCCTCTTAAAAGAACATTTTTTTTGCACAACATTTATGTTGAAGGGTTAAACCATTAATAAGGCAAAAATTAAAATGATTGATGGATCAAATTATTAAAAGCAAACAGTCACGCACCCATTCTCTACAAGACACTTTGTCATGCATGATGAAGAATGGACGTATGAAACGTGAAGAAAACGGTTATTCCATTAATATTAAACATAAAAGCCTTGTTATACCGGTAGTTAATAACATAAAAGTTGCACGTTTTTGAACATGGCAAGGACTGAAACAGACGAGCCAATGCTTCTTCCAATAGGATATTTTGCTTCATTGACTGACGTCAAGTCTTATGTTCTTCACCATTATCTCATTTAGTATTGTGTTTCTTTTCCTTCCCAGAGTGGCTCAATTCCGAATTGAACGCAATTAAAATTTTGAAGTCAAGATCCCGCTAAACAAAAAAAAAGACAAAAGTTTTAGTGTTGCTCTTAGTCTAGGTATCGAAACGAGACAATAAATCATTATACAGGTACACAAGTTTAGTGAAAACAATAAAATAAAGTCATTTACATTATTTCGAAAGTTTTTTTTCAACGAAAACGTTCCTTCGATTTTTTCACCATGTTTAACGGTCAAATAATCATTGAGGTAAAACACCATTTGTTTCCAATGGGTATATCTTGCTTCAGGATCTAGGAAATATAAAATCTAAATAATATGTGCTATGCAACCAATATTGAGCGTTTTGAAATTTTCTGACATGGCACGAAAGTCAACGGAAACCAAATTTCTTTACCAAAAGTTGCATACATTTCAAATTTTATTCAACGAAAGAAAACTTCAGTTTTTAGTACGAGCTGCAAATCAAACTCATCTTTATACCAACGTTTGTAAAAACTTTCGTTATCTTGCAGTATAATTAACGAAATAATCAAAACTTAGTCTCATCCAATCAATACTTTGCAATTTTCTTAAAAACAAGAATGATACCTGTTGAAAATCCTGTTGTTTTATGAACTCTATAATAAAATACGAGAGTAAAGCTTGAAGGTAATCATCACGTTGGGAGAACAACTGATCAGAAACATCAAACTCGAGATCCTCTTTTTGTACGGTTTCAATATTAACCTCTTAAAACACATTAAAAACAAGTCCAAATAAGCTTACTTTTTATCAATAATCCAATCCATATAATAAATTCTTTTGTTAACTCCATTCAACTTTTTCCCCTTGTTTTAAAGTCTCCACTTTCTATACTTCATATTTTAAACTGTCAAACGAATCAGCAACAAATGTAGAACAGGTGTTCACGATTAGCTCTTTAAAACAATTTATTGATATTTATTCAACTTTGCATGTTATTTAAGCTGTATAAGACTTTATACCCTTAAAAAAGTCTTAAAACCTAAATTGCGAAAGCAATAATTAAGTTGAACTTGTTTTTAAGGAGTCAAAAAGCGATGAAATTCAAAAATTTGAAATTTTAATGGCAAAAGTGTTTGAAGGCCGCGATAGTGGGAACTGGTAACTTTTACGTCACAATAGGAGCTCGCATATTGCCATCTAGGATAATAATGTAGTTCGTAAGCGTGATTTAAAATGGAAATTATTCTGGGGATGTTCTCAATTTTCATAAAGTTTAGACAGAAATCTTAAGTTACGGAAAGACAACTTGCATTAAAGTCATTTATACAGATGTAAATGCTCAAACGAACAAAGGAAATGCTTCACAAAACTTTTTAACGCTTGTATGGAAAGTTTAAGTCGCTAGTATTGATTTAAAGCCAGACAATCTTTTTTTAAATTATTGTATCTTACGTGGCTTGATGAAGCCATCAAATTCGCAGGAAGTCAGTCTTATTTCTTGAATATTCAGCCTAAACGGCAAATATTTATATTGAGTTCACAAAACCCATTCGAAAGATATCTTTTGCTTTGAAAGTGATGACGTCATTATAAATTCATTGGCAAAAAAATGCCTTAATGACGTTACTATATTTTCT